TTTTTTGGATTTATTGACAGATTTCATAGGTTTAGGAATTCTAACTTTACGAACAGAAGGTTTATCAAATGAAACAGTTTTCCATTGATCTCTCTTCTTTTGAGGTTTTATTTTAGGAAATAATTCATTACGATAATTGAAGGCTTCTTTTGCAATTCTTTTATATTCATTTTTTACTTCTTCAGGCTCTTGTTCCCATGATCGAGATACCATTAGAGAGATAATACTCATTGGTAAGTTATAACCGCTTGTACGAGCAGTTTCAACAAACAGTTTTCGATAAATCATAAAGGCATTAGCAGTTTTGGGCACACGACCATCGAGGTGGAAAATAACTAAATCATGTGGATTAATTTCTGGTGGGAATGGAAGTTTGATAAGTTGCGGATTATCGATCACCTGACTTTGAATCATGGGATCATTTCCGGAATTTATGAAGGCGCAAGCACGATTAACAAAGAAGCTAGATTGGCATTCGCTCATGTTTGTTAAATTTTTGCTAGTTATAAACTTTAATATTTTAAATATCAGCTTTTCTTTTTTTATACGTTGAACTGATGGTTTGGAATAAATCCAAATCCCGTTGTATTTATATTTTTCTTAGCTCGGACGTAGGTTTCTAAATTGTTACAATCCATTAAGCTTATTTGACTACTAAATGTGGATATTGTTCGGTTCTCTTGGAATTTTTGGTCTATTTATAAAATGACGTTATCTTGCACACATTATGTAATTACACCGAGGTTATTCCTAATCATTCTAATCGTTCTAAATATAACTTATTGTTGGTGTGCTTGGAATAAAATATTTATGCTTCTAAAAAAGTGGCGTTATGTCATATCTAAATCCACCGTAAATCTACTACGTTAGTATTTTTGTTACACTCAATTTTTATTTGGTTATGGCGCTCCAATATATCTTATTATTGGTGTGCTTGGAATAAAATTCTAATGCTTCTAAAAAAAGTGGCGTTATGTCATATCTAAATCCACCATAGATATACCACATTAGTATGTTTTCGTTACATTCAATAATTTTATTGGATTATGGCGCCCCAAAGCTGTACGCCACAGTGGCTGTGAATTTTTTATCACGTAACGGTAAAAATTTCAAGTTTTGATTGGCAACGTCTCGTAAATAAGAAAAGCTTGAGACTTTCAAATTTATAGGACCACGAAATGTATACATTTCATTAAATAACGAACCATTTTTAATATTGCCACTATTGTTTGGAATAGCAACTTCGATATGACGAGGTTTATTACTGTGTAATAAAATCTTTAATAAAGATAGTTTTTACTGAAAATTGTTCACGCAATATAAAGGTAGAGTTTGGAACTGGTTTATTTTTCATATGTCAAAACCGGTTTTAATCGGTTCAGCACATAAAAAATAAAATCGGTTCAAAATTCTGATAGTAGAATATGTACGTACGTACGTAATTAAAGAAGTGATAATTAGGTGTTTATGTTAACTAATTAGTTGATCAAATTTAATTTTTTTAATTCTCAACGTAAATTTTATAAATTACCCAGCAATACGAAACTGATAAATTTAATGGTTTCATCAATGACTAAATTATTTGTTTCGTCAGGCTTCACCAGTTTTGTAAGGTATCATTACGGTAGCCCAGTTTTTTGGGGTTTTCAAAAATATTTATATATGAACGTTGAAATTATAAATGGCAACCCATCGTCATTGTCATAATATTCTTGTTCCTTTTTTCTTTAACTACATTGTTGGAATTACCATCATTGAGGCCATCATGCTAGAGCTTTAGTACTATTATAATATATTTAATTAATTTTTTATTTATTAACATTAATATTTTGTATACTAATTTTAAACAGATTCTTTAAAGATCAAAATTTAAAATAAAATAATTAGATCAAATTTATTGCGCTTCTCAAATTAGTGTGACCCATCACTCTGAAAATTGGCATATTTCGAATAAATCTAATTATTTTGCTTGCAAATAAAATTTCCCAAAATTTCTCTGATTTTCATTTTTTCAATAGTATATCTAGTAATACACATGAATTGGCCGTAGATTTGGCCAAATAATATTGGGAATTTCAGGCTTTTACAGCGCTTTTCAAATTACTGTGATCAGCATAGAGGTCTGTTCCGTTGAATAATTATCCGAATATTCGATGAATATTTGGATGTTCGAATATATGTTTATTTCATCAAATTAAACATCGAATATTTTCTTATTCACCGATTAACTCAATGAGTATTCGATGATATTCGGTGATTCAATGTAATAACTTTTTTTTTTTTAAATTTTAAAAGGTGAGGCCATGCCTCTAACTTTATTGAAATTCAATTGAGTTCCTTTACAAGAAGAATATACAAGAAAGAAATACATTTATACATTTGAACTTCATATCCAGAGGATACTAAAACTAGAGACTCAGACACAATGTTACAATAACATAATTATCTGTGGCCTAAACCTAACAATATAATAAAATTAAATTTTGTAAAATACTAGGGTTATTTAAGTAGACTTAGAAATAATTTATGAGTGCTGGAGTAAAAACCCGAAAATGAAAATTTAAGTTTCACTGCAAATTTAGTCTTGAATGTGAATCACATCTATTTTTGCAAATTTTAGTTTAGTTTAGGATAAATATTATAAAATGGTAGTACAAATGTTGTAAGAATCACTTGAGTCACACAAATAACATCCATTTGTCAAAAGATTTCACATAGTCTGTCATTATTACTTCAAAATAGTTGTTTGTAAATAGAGTAAAAACCACTTGAATCTAATTATTGATTTGTAAGAAATACAACTCATACCTTTTTATTTAAAAATATCTCATGATCTGTGATTAGATTAAGTAAACTTTATACTATTCAATTTCTTGGTAAAGGATGTGTTACTAAAAGTCAAAAACTATCCCTTAAACCATTCAGTGGCCAAATATGCCCGCTAGAATCTATTTTTTTATATTTTTTTTATAATTGCTTAAAATTTTATTAAAAATAAGTACCTCTATTTCTAAGCTAAAATAAAAATTTGAGATATTTTTAATTAATTATCTGTAAAATTTATAGTTTAATTTTAAAATTAATAAAGATATTTAATTTGAAATTTGGTCAATTTTAAAATTTTATTATTAAATTTTTAAAAAGTTTTTTAAAAAATTTTAAATTTTTATATGTTTTTAAAGAGAAAAAAAAATTTTCTATTAAGAAAAGTTAAAATTTTATTTATAAAATTATAAAAAATTTATTATTTAAAATTATTCTTTAAAACAAATTCTACAATTTGTATCAAAATTATAGTATACTTATTATTAGAATTTTAAAAAGTTTAGCAATAAATAAAAATTAAATTTTGATTTTTTTTTAAAAAAACAAAATTTAAAATTTTTATTATATAGATAACTTTATTTTTTGTCTTGTAATTTAAAAATAAATATTACTATATTATAATTTTTATTTTCAAATATTATTATATAAATTTTTTTTTAAATATATTAAATTTTAACAAAAATAGATCAGATATAACAATTTTAATATTTTAGTAGTCAAATATGTCTGTTACTACTAATGGTTTAAGGGATATACCAAAAGTTATGAAGTTGTTTACTGAAAGTATTTTAGTAAAATATATTATCTCTTAAACTGTAGAGCAGGCAAATTTGCCTGCTTAAATAATTTTTAAAAAGTTTTTTATATTTTTTTAAAATTTATTTAAGCTTAATCTCCTCTATATATTGATTAAAATTAAAGATATTTCTTTTATAAATAATATATTTAAATTTTATTATTCTATCTTTAATTTTGATAAAGATATTACACTTTTAATAAACCTTGTTTTTTAATTTTACTATTAAAATTTTAAAAAGTTTCTTAAAATTTTATATGTTTCTAAAGAGAAAATTTTTAATTGCTATTAAATAAAGTTTAGATTTTGCTTAATAAATTATAAAAGTAATAATAATAAAAATAATTTAATTTTAAATTTTTTACAATTTTATATTAAGGTAATAAAGGTTAAATCTTAAATTTTTATTAAGCAAAACTAAAAAAAAAAATTTTAAAATTAAAATTTGGGTTTTAAAATTTATTGCACGTGCAATATATTGCACCCCTTCTGTTATATCAAAATTTTTACTATGAAACCACC